GCCTCCGACTCGTCCTCCACCCCAATACCACACAGCATTTTTGGACTACTTCGGTGGGAGAAGAACTCGTGAACTTACAAGACAGCCCATTCCAACTGTGGAAGAGTTCCAAACTCCTTGCCTCTGCTCCTCCCTCCCACTTGAAGCCCCTTTCAAGTTAGTAGTCTCCAAAATGTATCTATCCCAGAGAGTGTATCAGATCACCCACTAAGGATGTGAGTAAAAAAGGAGACATTCCATATTAAATGTTTCACATTTTTAGATTTGAAAGTTGTACTACAATTTACTGTGCAAAGGGCATCGGCACCCTCACTCGGCCACATACCCGACTGGCCCAAACAGGAGACCGTTGGCTCCGCAATGTGGCCGAGTTAAGGGGGGAGGGTACCCCGGGGGGGCTCCATTTCAGCGCACTGGGGCTGACGTGAGCATAGTTCTACACGGCTAAGCCGGGCCTTTAAGCAACAGAAGCCTTGTAAAAGGATAGAAAGTGACAGTAACTTCCTGATTTCCTGGCTTTTCTTATGGCTAAATATTTGTGTGGGATTTAAAGACGAAAAGCAATTTTCTTCTGTACAAACAGAAGAACTTGAAGTATGCTGAGCATCTCACATGATGACAGATGGCTATCAGTAGTATATGTCACCTGGTAGGTTTATTCCAAAAAAAGCAAAACATAACTTTATCTTTTCAAAGTAAAGGTACCATTTTAGCGGAGAGTAAGAAAGTAACAGCTTTTCAAAGGCTACTTGTACTAAGGGGAGAATGTTTCGAAAATTTACCTTTGAAAATGTTTCCACTGCCACATGATTTTGTTGCTAAAATAATGTCTATTAAAAACATTGTCTTTTTTTCAAAATCATAAACTACACAGGTTATAAAAGGTTTGGAAGTATGGAAAATTATACCAATGAATCTGAAAGTCTGCTAAACCAAATTTTTAAAAATGGGTTTTGATGTTAATTTCATATATATACAACCTCCAACTAATCGGCAGTAACTGGCTGAGATCAAGGAAGAAGAGAATGTGGCTGCCAATCTCCACGTGATCCGGGGCGTAAGTGACCGCGAGGACTGGAACATCAGAGAGGTCGTCCATGCGCAATTCTTCCGTGTGGACACACGACTCTGTGAGTCATCTCTTTTCAGTCATGACAGTCACTCAAATCGAGTGTCAACGTAACTGAATTCGGCATCAGAAGTTTGTACAGCTGTATCTAAGTGTCATATCAGGATTTGCCTTGGTCATAAACAGAAATCATTGTAATGAATAAATAAACAGCAACGGCAAATGTTGATTGGATGCTTTATTTGACATGATCATTTTGGTTGGGCACATCTCTTGCCTTCAAGGAACAGAAAGAAACAATCTTCAGAGCTGGTCTAGCCATAAGTCACTCTGTCAAGGAACTTGAAATCAAAGTGTAATATTCGAATATCACCGCCTCCGATTTCCCACGAGGATTAAATAAAAGCACACAAATTAGAGTGCCTCGTACCGTGCCTTAAGTAAACAGATGCTCAATAAACGTTTACTGTCCTTTCCTTGTCTTGAAGCCATAAGATTATTTTAAAAATAATAATAATGGCCTTAGGAATTAGACAGGTTTGAATTCTAACTGTACCACTTGTTGGCCATGCCACTTAAGGAAAATATTTAACTCCATATGTAAAATGGAAATAATAATTCCTACCTCATAAGGGTAATATGAAAAGTCATTAAAGGAAAAGGCATACAAAATTATTCAACCCACAAAAACCAGTTAATAAATGGCTGACCCTCCTCCTTCCAGATGGCCTATTCATAACTATACCACAATACAGGCTCATGGGTCAATGAATTTCAAAATATCCACCATAATCCCTATCTTCAGATAATGATGACAGCACTAGAGTACTCTGACATAGTACTCCATTGTTCCTGCAGTAGAAGCACAGCACTAGAGTACTCTGAAACAGTACTCCATTGTTCCTGCAGTAGAAACACAGCACTAGAGTACTCTGACACAGTACTCCATTGTTCCTTCAGTAGAAGGATGGCACTAAAGTACTCTGACACAGTACTCCATTGTTCCTTCAGTAGAAGGATGGCACTAAAGTACTTTGACACAGTACTCCATTGTTCCTGCAGTAGAAGCACAGCACTGGAGTACTCTGACACAGCACTCCATTGTTCCTGCAGTAGAAGCACAGCACTACAGTACTCTGACACAGTACTCCATTGTTCCTGCAGTAGAAGCACAGCACTGGAGTACTCTGACACAGCACTCCATTGTTCCTGCAGTAGAAGCACAGCACTACAGTACTCTGACACAGTACTCCATTGTTCCTGCAGTAGAAGCACAGCACTAGAGTACTCTGACACAGTACTCCATTGTTCCTTCAGTAGAAGCACAGCACTGGAGTACTCTGACACAGCACTCCATTGTTCCTTCAGTAGAAGCACAGCACTAGAGTACTCTGACACAGTACTCCATTGTTCCTGCGGTAGAAGCACAGCACTGGAGTACTCTGACACAGCACTCCATTGTTCCTGCAGTAGAAGCACAGCACTAGAGTACTCTGACACAGTACTCCATTGTTCCTGCGGTAGAAGCACAGCACTGGAGTACTCTGACACAGCACTCCATTGTTCCTGCAGTAGAAGCACAGCACTAGAGTACTCTGGCATAGACCGGACACCCCACCCACGTGTCCTGAACTCACGTGAATTGCTACCCGGATGTCAGTAGGCTAACTCTGGCAGCCCGGGCCTGGCCTGATGTGGGATTGGGTCTTCCTGCTGCTCAGACCAGGGCTCTTTCCACCATCCTATGTACCCTCCTAGTTTAAATCATCTACTTACAGATATCCGTGCTAGTGCAAACTAACCTAAGGGTCGTAACACTGGATTAGCATAACTTGAGCTTTTCAGGTTTCTATGGCTAAGGAAATCATTACTTTGTTAAAGTACTTTAACATAAGAGAAAAAAGCACAGCTTTTTTACACAGCTTAAATTAGGAGAAAAAGTTTCTTTTTGTTTGGCACAATTATCACAAGAGACCCACCTATAGCTATGGTGTCCTAAGTTTCAGCTGCATAGGAGTGCTCTTAGAAAAGTAAATCTCTAGGAGGGTACAACCAATTCAAACTGTAAGCAGCGAACTCTAGTGCAATAAATAAAAGCTTGGGGGGCCCTGGCTCGTGTAGCTCAGTGGATTGAGCACAGCCTGAGAACCAAAGGGTGTCCAGTTGATTCCCAGTCAGGGCACAAGCCTGGGCTGTGGGCTGGCCCCGGGCGGGGGCCACATGAGAGGCAACCACTCATTGATGTTCTCTCCCCCTCTCTCTCCCTCCTTTCCCCTCTCTTTAAAAATAAATAAATAAATCTTTTTAAAAAAAAAAGGCTTGCGGGAAGCGGGAAAGCCACTTCATTCTGGTCAAACCCAAGGCGAAGTCTACTTTAAGGAAAACACTATGCAGTCACCGTCCAAGTGCAGGTGCAACTGTATGCGGTGAGTTTAAATATACCTACAAGAAGCACCTGTAAGATACAATGAGTCAAGTCACAGCCTCGGGATGACAAGTAGAAAACAGGATTTTAAATGTCTGAAAACTGCAGCTTCAGCGCTCTTGCAACACCTGCGTGTACGCGGTCACGTGAAGCAAACTGCACCGCCAGGGCCACACCATCACCCACAGGCTGGCCCTGGAAATGTCATGGAGCAAAGAAGCAGACGAACCGGCAGAGGAGGCCGTCCCCGAGCTCCCTCCCAGAAGGCGAGCGCCGCGGGAGACAGCGGCGTGCGAGGAGCCAACCCAAAGTAAACAAGCGAATAACTAAGGCTCGCGACGTCCCCAAAGGTCCTCCTCATCCCGAATCCTTCCGGAGTGTCATCCCATGAAATAGGGTTGGTTTTCCACAGAGCCCCGCGACCCCTTTTGCGCGGGGGGGGGGCAGCACCGGTCACCGCTCTCCATGGACCCTGCACAGCCCCCCCAAGCCACTGACTCAAGTGATTCCCACGGCGGAGACTCGAACACCTCTGGTTCAGTTTCCGGAACACGTGATTCGGGGGCGCAAACTTGCTAGAAACAGATTAAACAACACTTGAACACGTGTATCTGAGCCCTGCCACACTGCCCAGGGAGGGACTGAATGTCACCAGTTTTGGATGACACTCCCTGCGCCTCGCCCTAAAGAGGGGAGCCAGTCCCGGCCGGCTGGCCGCCGCTCGCAGCTCTTACCCATTTGTCCAGGGGCACCTGGGCCAGGGACCCGGTGCCCTGGTACAGGTCCAGGCTGAGCTGCTCCAGGCTCAGCTTCTCCTGCAGGAAGTGGCCCAGGTACCTCTGCAGGAGGTAGCGACAGGCCCTCTTCTTGATGGACTCTGAAAACGGCCACGGCATGATGAGGGCTGGCAGGTGGGCCGGCGGTGGCTGCGGGTGGCGGCCGGCGTCCCCAGGCAGTGGAATGGGCCTAAGCCCGGGGCGGCCCCTCCATGCCCGCTCGGCACCGGCGCTCCCTCAGGGCGACCCCATCTCCTGGATCGCGCCGCTGGCTCTAGGCCTGGCGGAGACGAGGGGCGGAGGAGTCCCCGTCGCCCCAGGCCCGGGCGATTCCGGGGAGGATCCTAGTCCGCACAGCGATGGGGTGCGAGGCAGGGCGAAGGGACGCGGCGGCGCCCGAGACAGGGGCTCAGGCGGACACCTCCACCGCCGCCGCGCGACGAATTTGTTGTCATCCGCGGGCGCGCTCCCGACGCTGGCGAAGCTCCCGGCGCGTTCGCGAGCCCCGGACTCCCAGCGCGCCAGCGGACGCTGGCGGAAGTGACGCCACACTGGGCGCGGGAGGCGGGAGGAAGGGCCCGGAAGCGAGCAGTTCCGGCTCGGAAGCGGCGAGGGCGGGGAGGGGGAGAGGGGGCGGCGCCGCCGCAGGCCGGCTCCGGACGCCCAGGGAAGGGAGGACCGGGAGGGCGGACCAGGAGGCCCTGGGCGCGCGCGCAGGTGAGCTGCGGCCAGGCTGGCTACCGGGGGCGCGGGCCGGGGGCCCTCCGAACGGGGCGCGGCGCTGCAGACCGGGCCGCGCGGGGCGGTGGCGGAAGGGGCCCGCCGCCGGGAGGAGAGGGCTCTGGAGGCGGGCCGGGCCTGGGCTGCCCCCCTCCCCTCACTCCCGGACGCGGGAAACGGACGCCGCGGGGAGGAGGGCTGCGGCCGCTGCCGCGCATCCCCGCCGCCCCCGAGTCTTGACCGGTGTTGCCCATCGTCAGCAGGTTATCCGTCGCCCGGCTCGTGCAGGTATCGTTTCCAAAGCTTCTTCGTGACTGTGTGGCGGCTGGCAGCTCACGAAGCGCCTTCTGCGTCCTGGGTGTGCTGCGCCCGGGACCGGGAAACTTGAGTTTTCGAGGATCTGAGAGCAGAGCTGCTTTCTGCGGGCCATGCCCAGGCCTCCCGACCCCGCGGAAACGTGGGCGATGGGCATCTGCGCCCTGGTGTAGCCGCCTTGGAGGAGGCAACTCCTGCAGAGGCCGAGCTGGCTGTTAACTTAGGCAACCCCGAAAGGCCTGCGCGGGGGTTCGTCGGCCCGCGAGCCAGACGCCTGCGTTACGGTCCCAGTGCCGCCACTTAGCCGAGCCACTCTGACCCGGGCTCCGCCATTGGAGCCTTTGCCAACGGTGAGCGTATTCATGTCGAACCTCCGGCGATTGTTAGGAAAATTGAGCGGTAGGAGTGAGGAACGAACCTCAACAGAGTCCTGATTCCTGTAGTTCCATTAAGCGTAGGAAATTAAAACGATCTGTTTAAGGAGATTGTATTTGTTGGTAACTCATGAATGCGGTAGAAAAGTGTACTAACAGCCCCAAAATATCGTCAGATAGGGAACGCTCTAGGTCCCTTCCCTCGGCCACCTTTTCGCGTTAGATCCAGAGTGCTCTCCCGAGTGTGCATTGCTTGGGCAGCTGGCGCCCCTGATCGTGGCGGGTTTGCCCCAAGCATGCGCAGCAACTTCGGCTCCCTTGCTCTTACTTGCTAAAGGTCCATTAAATGAAAGTCTTCGCAACTGCTAAGGTGAAAAGGGTGAAAAATCAGGCAGAACCTTCAAGGAGCGTGTGTTTTGTAGTGGATGATCTGTTCCTGTGTTCAGTATCTATTTATTGATCCCCTGCATGAGCCAGGGACTGTTCTAGATGCTGGGGATACAGCACTGAACCAGTTAAGGTCCTGCCTGGAGTTTACACTTTGTTGAAGGCAGGGGAAACAAATAAAAATCAAACCATATGACCGTGTGGTGATAAGTGCCATGGGGGGCAATATACAGGCAATGGAGATTTGTCACTTTTATATAGAGGGGTAAGGGAAGGCCTCTCTTATTCAATAATGTGACATTTTTGCAGAGACTTGGAGAAAACCAGGTAGCAAGGCCCGTGAGTACCTGGGAGAGTTGTTGTCCAGGCAGGGGGAGCAGCGAGTTTGAGGCCCTAGGACCAGAGCATGCCTGGTGGGTGAGCTCAAGGAATATCGGGAGGGAGTGAAGGGGAGGGTGGGTCACATTCAGACACAGAGGAGTTGTGAGTCAGAATGTGTTTAACTCACTAATGGAGGAACCCACAAGATATTCAAGTTGATGTGCAGTAGTGTAGGAGAGATGAAATCAGTGAGAGAAAAACCAATGTAATAAAATGGCAAAGTTAGCTCAAACCTGGCTAGTGGGATTTTCACTTCCAGCTAAGATAGACTAAGAGAAACCAGATTTACTCTTCACCTGCGGTTAAAAGAAAAAGTGAGCAAAAATATATGAAACGATTGTTCTTAAGACTTTGCATCATGCGGTGCAGGACAGTGATCCCTGAGAGGCAAGCTACAGACCAGGTGGCTCTGCGTCCCAGCGTACTGCCCGCAGAGAGTTCCCCTCCCGAGAGGAGAAGCCCGCATAGAGCCTGGCAGCCTCCCTGAGTTGAGGCCGTGGAACCGGGGGTCCACAGACCGCTGGGTCGGAGCCCTGGAAGGTAGAGAGCTGGAGAGTGGGGGCTGTGGGGATGTGTGGAAGGCCCCCCTCCAGCCTGCAGCTCAGCAGTATCAGCACGTGGTTGTGAAGAAGCTACCCTGGGCTGGGGGCAGAAAGGATTTGGGGGGCATCAGAAAAGACCAAGGACAGTTCCTGTTTCTATCACCCAGAGTGGAAAACCTCATAATTCATTCGTCTTTGGGGAGAGCTCTCAGAAAGGGTTTGCCTCTGCAGTCGGGCAGAAGTAACCAGAGACTGAATGCAGCCTTGATTCCGCCTTAAAAAGTTAAAAGCAAGGCTCAAAAAGAATAGGGTATTTTCAGATAACTTTCCAGGACATTTTCAGATAACTACACTCCAGGACAATGCTCAGTAATGTTTATAAGAATATAAAAATATCTAGCACTATACAAGGTAAAATTCACGATGTCCGGAATCCAATAAAAAATTACAAGCATTACAGGCATGCAAAGCAGCAGTATACAGCCCATAATGAGGAGAAAAATCTATCAAAACTAACCTAGAAGTAACAATGAAATTAGTACACAAGGACATTAAAACGCATTGTAGCTATTCATATGTTAAAAAAAAAAAAAACTAGGGAAAAGATCGGACAAATTAAGAAGAGACAGAGCAAAAAAACATTTTTTTAAGACCCAAGTAGAAGAAATTAGGCCGGTACTACAGAAGAAACCATTAGTGAACCTGAACCACAGCAACAGAAACTAGTCAAAGTGAAACACCAAGAGAAAAGAAACAAAAACATTAAGGAGGCAGTGAGGAGTAGGACAACTTCACTTGGACTGATAGTCATGAAAGTGAAGTCTTCAAAGAGAAAGAACAGATAAAGGTTTGAAGAAATGATGGCCAAATTTTTTTGAAATTTATTGAAAACTATAAACCCAAGGGAAATGGCTCAGTGAACCCCAAAGCAAAAGAAACAGGAAGAAAATTATAGCAACAGGAACAAAGATAACAACAATGGCATCAGATTTCTCAAAGGAAACACTGCAAGCAAGATGCTCAGAAGAAGCATCTTCATTACGCAGCCTTGAAAGCGGGGGAAAAACTTGCCCACCCAGGATCCTGTACCCAGCAGAAATGCCGTTCCCGGAGGCAGATGAAAGAAGACTTGTCCGGGCATACAGAAGCCGGAAGAATCCGACGTCAGCAGGCGTGTGCCGCAGGCCGCGTTGCGGGAACCCTGCCCGGCACAGGGAACGTGACGCGGGTCGTAGATGCATTTGTCGGTCAGCACGAAGGAAGGGGGGCACCGGAAGTAGTGTCTGTGTGGTGTTAAACGTAAAACGCGTTTTTATCACCTAACTCTCTTCAAAGATAATTGACTGTTTAAAGCAAAAATAGCACAAAGATGATGGTATACTCTTGTGGGGTTCTTATTGTATATGTCAAAAGGTAGAATATCACTTTTGAAGGTACATTGTCATAAGTTAAAGCTGTATGGTATAAACTCTAAGATGACCACCATCAACACACATAAAGAATTATAGTCAGTACCCTGGCTGGTGTGGCTCAGTGGATTGAGCACCAGCCTGCGAACCAAAGGGTTGCCGGTTCAATTCCCAGTCAGGGCACATGCCTGGGTTGCAGGCCAGGTCCCCAGGGGGAGCATGCAAGATGCAACCACACACTGATGTTTCTCTCCCTTCCCCTCTGTCTAAAAATAAATAAATACTCTTTTAAAAAACAAAGATTATAGTTAATAAGCCACCAAAGGATATAAACTAGACCTAAAGAGTAGTTAGGCAAAAGTAAGCAAAAATAATAAGGAAAAGGGAATAAAGTACAGATGGGACAAATAGAAAACAAACACCATGATAGACAGTAATCATATTAATTATAATAATCGTATCAATAAGCACAGTAATCATATGAAATGCAAACGGTCCTAACACCCCAGTTAAGTGACAGAGATTGCCAGATTGGACAAAAAAGCAGTACCAAACTATATCCTGCCTACAGAAAACCTAGTTTAAATATAAAACTATTTATATTCCCATTCTCAAGAGCTTAAAACGGCCTGTTATGTCAGAATTAAATTCCCCAGTCCTAGGTATCAGCACCCTGTCAAATTACCTGTTAGTCCCTTAACATTTCCCTCCAGTAGACCAGCCAGCCTGGTCTCCTCCCTCCAGCTCCTGCCACAGGAATTGTAAGGAATCCTGTGCGGACTCGCTTATGCGTTGTTCCCTGTGAAGAAGTCTTCAGAATTCTCCAGTCCTTTCCACTCAACTATAACTTTTCATCTGTGTTCATTCAAAATCAATTTTGATGGACCTGTTTTGTGAGTCAAACCCTATTATAATCATGATTATGTCATAAATCATGGACTATCAGAGCTCTCAAGAACTAAAAAAACTTCCTACGGGTTCCCCTTATTTTACAGGTGAAAAAAACCATGAGTCCAGTGAGGTTACGTGACCAGCCTAGGTTCATGCAGGTGTAGTGGTAGTGTTTCAGTAGGGCCAAGACATACCGATTTCTCTAATTATCTGCACTCACAATTAAGTACGTTTCTTAGGTTATAATTATAATGCGTGTGCATGGCGTTAATATTTGTGTACATATTTAATGTATGTGTCCCGTCTGTCCAATGAGGCGGAAAGCTACCAGTAGACAACTTTAATTAGTGTGCCAATGCTTAGAAAAATGCCGGATACATAGGTACACAGTGGATTATGATAAATGACTAATAAATTTAGAGTCTGAATTGACAAGACTACAAAATATAAGAAGTAATTCTTTAGCTTTTACTACTTGAAAGAATGATAGTTTCCCTTAATAGATTAGCTAAGCTTCAAAATAGATTTTGTAGCATGTATTTATAAATCTGGCTCCTCGTTTATATAGTGAGTTTAATTGATTACCTTTACATTTCAACCATGATATAAACTCGGTACATTGTTGTATTATCCACAAACATTCACGAAGTCCTAGACCCGCACTAACAGTAGCCACCTAGCTATTAAAATTTACACGAATGAAAAGGAAACAAAATTAGAAATTTAGTTCCTCAGTCACTAGAGCCAGACTTCGAGTGATTAATAGCCGTGTGTGGCCAGTAGCTACTGCATTAGACGGCACACATACACGACCTGTCTGCCATCACAGGAAGGCCTGCCGGTCTGGAATTTCTCACACAAGGGTGAGTTGTTTTGACCGCAGAGCAGAAAACCAAGGACTTTACAGGGTTCGCATGGCTGAGCCAGCCTGACTGCAGGTGTGGGCGGGAACCGCGGTGCTCGCCTCGGCAGCACGCGCCCTAGAAGTGCAACAACACGAGGTTGGCAGGGCCCCCACAAGGGTGCCACGCAGATGCATAAAGCGTCCCGTACTCTTCAAACCAGAAAGTGACTGTCGTAGGGAACCCTTCGCCCAAGCGGGCCTGTGTTTCCTCCTCAGTGCACAGACGCAAGAAGGTAGTAAGTTCACATTTCATGTTTTACCTGCTGTTTAAATGCATGTTTATCTTTTAATATTTTAATTGTGGTTGAATATCTGTGTAAATGTCTACATAGTGAGGTGTCTACCCAAAAAGCTTTAGTTACCGGGATGAGTCATCGAAGAAGTGGAAGCCACTTCTCTGGGCCCTGTTGATAAGGCCACCCAGGCGCCGCTCTGGTTCTGTGACTCCTGTTATCTCCAACTGCCTTCAGGGTTTGGGCTCTGTGTGCAAACTGCTCAAGGGAAAATTTGATTGGCGAGGCTGATTACCACCCGGAATCAAGCATTTGGACAGAGCTCTTGATTTAGGACAATTCATAAGCGCCTTGCCCGCTTTGAGATGGTTACTCGATTGAAACGCCCATCCCCAGTGCCCTGCGCTCCGATGGCGGTGCTGGCATTACAGAGTGCAGAGCGTGAAACCTGTAACAAAGGCAGCTCTCCAAAGAAGCAGTGAGCTTGACAAGTACTCCGGGCCTCCTTTTGATAGAACCATCTGAACTGCCTGTTTCTATTGCCCATCCAATTGTGTAACATAAATTGTGGCCCTGGCTGGTGTGGCTCAGTGGATTGAGAGCCAGCCTGCAACTGCGAGGTCGCTGGTTCGATTCCCAGTCAGGGCACAGGCCTGAGTTGCAGGCTGGGTCCCCAGTTGGGGGCGGGTGTGAAGCAAACAGTCAGTGTAGCTCCCTTACATCGATGTTTCTCCTCTTTTTCTCTCTCCCTCCCCCTCTCTAAAAAATAAATTATGACTGTTCCAGAAAGAAAGGACAGAAAGTGGAGTCTCCAACTACATTCACATTCTTATCTGCTGGTAGGGTGTGGACACTGGTGGACAGAATAATGCCCCTTCCCAGGAGTTACCCATGTCCTAACCCCAAAGCTGTGAACGTGGTACCCTACATGGCAGAGCAGACTTTAGGTTTCTCATCTCTAGAATTAGAAATTCGTGTTGTTCTAAGCCCACCAAGTTTGTGATTATTTGTGACAGCAGCAATTGCAAACTAATGCAAGCATATTGCTACTCAAATTCTGTCAAGATTTTAAAAGTACTTTCATATGACAGGCACAAAAATGTGAGGGTTCCTTTTCTTTTTTTAACCTCTTCCATAAAGCTGCTGAAGAGCTAAATCACTGCTTTTCATTGCTGGTGATATCCACCCTCACTGAAGATACTTGGGTTGCCAGTACAGGGAGGGAATTCACCGGCTCCGCTAACGCGCTGAGGTTACACAGCCGCCTGGCTGGGGCGGCCTCTCTCGGTGACTTTCCTGGCCCTGCTGGTTCCCCTGCTCAGCACCACCTCGGGCTGGTTTCCCTGGCGCACGCAGGGCGCCTGCCAGGAACAGCTGGAGCTCGCCTGTATCCTGGGTTCAAGTGACTAGAAAGAATTTCGTGTGTTGATTAGTTTAGGGCCCTGTGTAACTGGGGTTGGGGTCAGTCTCACCCAGAAGGGGGCCTTATGATTCCCCTTGGGAAATCTGGGTGCTTTTAGGCAGGGGAAAGGCTATTGATAAATAAGGCCCTGTTGGAACCAACAAAGAAGAAGTGATAATGTTACCTTAAATAATGAGTTTGAGATGTTTTCAACTTCTATAATGCTTCAATGATCTATCTTTTTTACTTATGTATAGCATCATTAGAAGTTCCAAAAGTCTGCTTTCTTATCTGTCATTCAAAGACATTTTAGAAACAAAATCTTCAGTCTAAGGAAATGCCTCTTTCCCTGTGTTGCCCCTTGGTGCTGGTCGTTACACAACGTACAGTGCGGTGCCCGGCGTCCTGGCCCGCGCGGGCTCTCCCGTCCCCGCACCGCATCCCCCGCCTTTCTCCGTCATCCAGGTCCTGATGGCAGAGGACCAGATTCTTGTTTTAAAAACGTGCTGCTAAGCTGTCTCATAGAAACATCTTTTTCGTGTGATGATGATTATTATTTCTGACATCCCTAGTTGAGACACTTGATTACTTAAGCCAAATTACAATGTGTGGTATTCGTGATGCTGAGAGATTTATGATGGACAGGCCCATTTTGAAGTCTTCCAACTGACTCTGTTGGGTGGGGTGCTCTTTCTTATACATAAAACCAAGTGTGAAGGAGTATGATGATTATTTGTAAAGTAGAAATTGTTAGAAAACGCATTTTCACTATCTTATACAGTAAATCCATATTAGACTTCAATTTTCTGACAAATTGCTCCAGCAATAATTGGTAAATCTATAATTAACTTGCATTGTTAGGAGTGACCGATTCTGGAAAGCGCTATCGGATGCTTGATATAAAAGGTCTTTAAAACGTGTCATTAGTTGAAAGAGGACTGCAGGAATATCTTATTTGTACATTTGCTATGTGATTTTAAAAGAGATTCATGTAGTGCATTACTAATTGTCTTTAGCAGGTAGTTTTGACTTCTGTGAAAGACATGCAGCTGTAGGAACTCGAGCTCCTTAACATTCTTGCTGATAGTTTCATGTGACTTTGCAGTAGAGTCGCCCAGAAGCTCTGAAGACAACACCCAGAAAAATCTCACAGAGACTTTGATTCAGTTTCTCTGAGGGTGGTCAGTGGCTGGGGACATCATTCTCCGCCTTTCAAATTGGCAAATGTTAAAAAATATTGGAAAGAATGTGGTTTAAAGAGAGAGAGAGAGCAGTCCTTCAGGTTCTCTTGGTGGAGTTTACATCAGCGCGGCCTCCTTGCTGTTGAAGGGTGAGTCAGCATTACACACGGGAGGTTGAAATGAGCCTGTGCTCTGACTCAGCAGTTCCCCTTCCGAGTATCCTAGAACGATGAGGACACACTTAAGAAGCGCGCGTTAAGATTTTTCCTGAGGCATTGTCTGGAATGACTAAGAACTAATATTTTCCATTCTTACCAATATGGGAGTTACCCTTTGGGGGAGAAATGGAGAACAGAGACTCTTTCTTCTGAAAATCTGTAAGTGTCTGATATTTTGCTGTGAAAAACCATTACAAATGGTTTTAGACAGCGTTTTCCAGGAAAGCTGTCGACTACTTAATGTTCTCTACTAAGTAGCAGTTGTAAGGTGTAGGTACTTTCACTCAGACGGTAATATTTGGAATGTCTGTCTGTAAAGAAGGTTTATGTCTCCTGTTTTGCAGAATGGAAACCGATTGCAATCCCATGGAGCTGAGCGGCATGTCCGGGTTCGACGAAAATGCAGAGATTAATGGTTTCGAAGGAACTGACATGAAAGACATGAGGCTGGAAGCGGAAGCGGTGGTCAACGACGTCCTCTTCGCCGTGAACACCATGTTTGTGTCGAAGACCCTGCGCTGCGCCGACGACGTGGCCTACATCAACGTGGAGACGCGGGAGAGGAACAGGTACTGCCTGGAGCTCACAGAAGCGGGGCTCAAGGTGAGCGCCTTTCCCTCCGCGGACAGAGAAGTGACTTGTGTCTGTGCCCCCCCGCCAGTCAGAGAGGGGGCAGGGCCGGGAAAGAGTGTCGAATGAGAACTCAACACGCAGTAGCTTCCAAGGTCTTTTCAAGGGAAACTTTTATCTAGGGATTTTTAATAACCCTAAAGTCTTTTGTCAGCGTGGGGAAATGGGATTTATTTTAAATTGGATTAGCAGTGTCCCTTTAATTACTGCCCCCCAAATTAGTTGATTTGTTTCCCATAGCTGAATATGCCCACCAGAAGCATGCATCTCCCCACCTGCACCGGCTGAGTTTCGCGGCCACTGTATTGAGAGGCCCTTCCCACCTCCTGGAAATGTCTCCTCTGTTCAGACAGCGCGCTCGACTCCGCCGTCGGGCCGCACGCAGTCGGTCACAGCAGGCAGCTGCCCCTCCCATCGCCAGGAGTGTCCTCTCGGCTCCTCGTTGCACGGAGCTCGGGACTGCGAGTGAGCCTCCCCAGGCAGAGTGGCCTCCCTCCCTACGGCCTTGAACCAGAACCCTGAGTCTAGAAGAGTAGAAAGTACCACCGGAAACCAACTTTTTATTAAAAAAAAAGACTATGAAATTTTTGACCTGCTGAACAAAGTAATAGTCATTAGAAACTCCAGAATTTAGTTTTAACTGTACTAATTAATTCATAGTCCATCTCGGTCAAAGTTCCCTGACATTTCTGTTTCTCTGTATGTTAAGCGTAATCCCCAAAACTTGCACAGAGTTATAAGACCTGAGCAAGTAAGAATGTCATGGAATAGTGTGTTCAATGGCCGCATGAATGTTTCCTTATTTCTCTAGATGCGGTTCCCTTGAGATGTGTATGTGAACCACGTGTTCTGTGTGTTCCGTGTCAGAGGATCCCGTGCCTTGACGCGAATTGCGAAGCCGGCAGCCGCTCCACTGCCCTCGGTTGCCGCGCGGCAGCCCCGTACCTTGCCGCCTGGCTCAGGGAGCAGTGCTTGCTTTACCTGGTGTTTGCGCGCTCCTTTCTGAGTCCCCAAACCTGTACTGGAAGCCTGCAGTCTTTAGCAATGGGCCTTAAATAGAAACAGGCAAATCGAAAGTGGGCGTGAACGACCCCGATAAATTCATTCTGCGTTATGTCAGTGAAGGCTGCGGGGGCTGGGGTGAGGTGGGCGGGGCTCTGATGGGGTCGGAGGTCTTACACACGCGAGTCAGAGTGAGCGTGGGTCAGGTAGGCAGCCTGTCCGAGTCCGAGTCTTTACCTGTAACCTGGAGATTAAACGTAAAAACTAAAGAAGACCGGAGGATGATTATAAAGTGCACAGTTAAGATTGGATCACTTAATATAAAGCCTGGCGTGCTGGATATTAAATAACTTTTCAGCCTGATTCGGTTAACATTCACTGAGCACTTACCGCAGGTCAGGAATTGGAAGTGAAACCGGGTGTAAGACGTGATCCCGGTCCCCTGAGAGGAGCGGCCTAACAGGGGTGCGAGGGGCGGATGGAACTGTGACCAAGTGGTCCCCGCTTACCTGCAGCCCCGCTGTCCGCTCTTCCAGTTCTCTGTGCTCAGCCACGTCTCCGAACAGTGAGCGGAAAAGGACAGAAATGCACACCTTACACATTTTAAATGGCGTGCCTTTCTGAGCAGCGTGGTGAAATCGCACGCCGCCCTGCCCCGCGCTGCCCAGGACAGGAGTCGTCCCTTTGTCCTGCGTGGCCTTGCTGTCTCCGCGGCCGCCGTCCCGCACGCAGCCGCCATCTCTGTTACCACATCGGTTGTCGGAGAGAGGGACCGCAGCCTCCAGACTTGTACTGCAGTGTGTCGTAATTGCTCTGTTTTACTCATTAGTCTCGCTCATCTCCTGCTGTGCCGAATTTGTAAATTAAGCTGTGTCGCGGGTATCTGTGTACTGGAAAAACACAGTCTGTGTCGGGTTCGGTGCTCTCCTTAGCTCCACTCGCAACACGACCCTGTGGATAGGGGGCGCTGCCGTTCACCGTGCGAAGTGCCGCGGTGAAGTGTGGCCCTGGAGAGGTGGGAGGCGTCGTCCCTGGGTGTCCGCCCCTGCTCCTCATCAGAACAAGACCAGCACCGCCTCTGCCGCTAATGACACGATCTTGCATCTTCTGTGGCTTGGATAAATGTCGTAAGAATTCAGCGTTTATAGAGGGAGTTCAAAGCTTAGTCAAGTCAAAAACTGAAGTAATTTTGCCCTGTACTGTGCTGGTGAACTGTGGTATTTCATTATTTCGGTGGAGAGAAAAGCTTTTGCTGCGTTTAGAGAAAAAAACCCAGAATAACATTCCTTTTTATTTCACAGAGTTATGCATTTCTCCGTTAGATAAGTAAATGTATTACTGGTGTGAAATGGCCTTTCAGATAACTATATAAAGCAGGATTAAAGTTATGAACACTTTCCAGAATTCTTTATAAAAATAAGCCAAACCAAATATAGTGATAAAAGTGTGGATTGATAATTATCTGTTATAGTCCCTGTATGTAGCAGGCCTTAATATATGTGGACTTAAATTGAAGCATGTTTTAGATTATGAAAACAAAACACTGTTTTGTATAGCTTTTTACATTTTTTCTCCGCTTTCCATTTGTTTTAGGACCAGGAGTGGGTCAATCAAACCATTACAATGTAGAGGAAAAAATTATGAAAAGAGCATTTTGCAGGGGTTGTTTCTATTGAGTTATAAATTGCTTAAATATTAAAGATTGTACCAAAAATGCATATTTTACCTGTTGATTGAAAAAGTATCATTAGAGGGTGACCCATGTAAACAATTGGTTTTTGCTGTCTGTGCCTCGATGAAATCCAGTTACTGACTTCACTGTTCCCTTGCAGGTGGTAGGTTATGCTTTCGACCAGGTGGATGATCACCTGCACACCCCCTACCACGAAACGGTCTACTCCCTGTTGGACACGCTCAGCCCTGCCTACCGGGACGCCTTCGGAAACGCGCTGCTTCAGAGACTGGAAGCTTTGAAGAGAGACGGGCAGTCGTGACTAAGCTTGTTCCTGTTCGAGGGGCGACGGCTGGAACAAAATATGGGCATGAAGCTTGAAACTCTTGCTTATGGTCATAGGAGAAAATGCATCTTTGGTTTTGTGTTTTCATCATTTCTCGCTTCAGATTTGGCTTCTGACTGAGAACATTATTGACTAATAAATCATCTGTCTTAGTTCCTGATTCGTGAAGGGAATCCTGAGGCCATTGCTGTGATAGCATCATTAAGACATTCAGGTTTCTGCACATAGCATCTCTGCATTTCAAAACGGAATCACTCTTTCATTCTCTTACTCCAGGGCTTCGATGCTGCCAGCACTCTCTCTTACATAGGAAAGTCTGTATTTGCACAGTAACATAGGAATTAAAATGACCTAAAGGCAAACTTCGATTCAGCTTGCTAAATCAGGGTTTACTGCCAGCTTGGACTAACGTTACAGTAATTATTTTGGTACTAGCCTTACTGGGAACAAATTATCAACTAGTTTCCCCTGCACAAATTTTAAAATTCACTGCTTCACTTAATCTATTTGTATTACTGATACGGACTGATAATGACGTGTTCATTATCTATTACTTAGCTAGTATTACATGAACAATAGGGACAGAAAAGTTCTGTATTCCTTGTTTGCAACAGCCAGCCAACTAAGAGGACAAACCGTTAGCAAATGAATGTAATGGTTACTTTTTCCAAGGTACTTAAGCACATAAGCAAATAGGGGAACAGGCTCCATTCTTCACAAAAAGCATCTTCAATGTGTGGGATTTAAAAGAAAGAAGATTCTGATTTCTTAAAAAAAAAAAATATTTTGGCCTGTGTTGATCCTTCTGATGAATGTTTGTTTACATGATGTACAGTATATATGCAGAAAGTATTTTTGCTTCCACATTTACTTTCTATAATGTACTGCTTTGGTATTCCCGCAGCGCCCCCTTCCCCAGCCCGTGTGCAGTGTTTGTCTCAGTGCTACGTCCACGATGTAATGCGAGTGCAGTGTGTGGGTTCGAAACCAAAGGGGGAAGGAAGCACTCTGAGACTTCATGTGTGAAAAGGGAGACTCTGTGTTTTATATTTTATTACAGGTACTGATATTTATAAACTTAATAAACTACGCCATGCCGCTTCATGTTTTCCAGAAAATGTTGAATAGTAAGATTTGGGGACACCGTTTTTTTTTAATAATAGCCTAAAGTAGCAGCTGTAGAAATGCTGAACTAAAATTCTGCACCTTGACACACCTTCAGAAATTTGTCATTTGCAGGCTTTTCTAAATCATTATTAAATATTAAGTACTTCTAGGCCCTGAAGATGATGCAGGCCAGAGCAGGTTTGCATTCGGTCCAGGTTACTCTTCATTGTCACACGTCACTGGTGGAATGCTGCCGTCACGGGGGATCACGCATACTCATTCCTAGCTCTCCTGGCGGATGCTCGACTACTGGGCAGTGGAGTCCGACGTCAGGGTGGACTTCCTGTTAATCTCAGGCTCACTGGAAAGGGTATTTGTAAAATCCGAATAAACTTCTGTTTGCTCAGTTTGAGTTTTCAGTATGAAGAAAAAGTGATTGTGTGTTTAAAAATTGAAATTGATCACTTGGTGATAAATGGTTGATTCCAAGAGCCTCCGTTTCCATTTTTGCATTCAGTATTATATTTTCACGTGAATTGAGTTGCTCTTTTCATTACTCTGAAAGAGGAGCATGGGGAGACTTAGGAAAATGCAGATGTTAAAACCTGTTTTCCCTAGATTGCGTAAAGAATTTCACCAGATCAGGTAAGCCTTCATTACACTTCCAAAGGGGGGGAAACTACAAATAGCTCTTATAAATCTACAAGAAAAAAATGAGAATGAACAAATAATACGATCAAACTGCTCAGAAAAAAAGGGTACAGACGTCTAGTAACCACTTGAAAGGTACTCAGCCCAGCCAGTACTTCCACAAAGGTAAATATCACTTGCTAATTTCACCTGTAATTTCATCACGTCTCTTATTTAAGTAAAATGGTGCCAGGAAGGGTCTAGTGAGAGGGCACTCTTACATCCATTGGAGTGCGTGTGGGTGAGACCTTTCTGGGCAACGTCGGTGATACAGCCTTTTCCAGAGCTTGTAACTTCTGCGCGGGCTCAACCCTGGCAACTTAGCATGGGGGCGGGGGGGGGCAGTGGTCCACCAGGGGGTGTGCTGCAAGGGTGTCCGTTTTCTCTAATGAAAAACCGAGTGGCTCTAAAGGTGATTATGTTAAGCTATATAATTCTCTTGATGGGAAAATATTCAGCCATTAAAAATCATGAAAAGGCAATGGGGAAGAATTTACATGAAAAAATATATAACTTTTGGAAAATACTCTTCTACGTAGTAGGAAAATAAAATATTCTACATGTTCATAGTCCTCACTAGGTGGTAAGAGGTAATTTTCACTTTCACTATTTTTTTCACATTTCCTACAGTTGCTTGTGTATGCAATATTTTGCCATGTACAGTGTGCACCCACGTTTTTGTGCACGTTATACCTGGGATTACTGTGCCCATGGTATGTAATCTTTACGCTCATGTATAATGCGCATCCTTATTTTTCCCTCAAAAATACAGGTGAAAAGGGGCGCATTATACATGGCAAAATACGGTACTAGTTGAAGGGGAGATGCAGTAGATGAGGGGGTTGGAGGTAGCTGGGGAACGTTTCTGCCCAGCAAAAAGCACCACACTGTGCTCAGCTGGGTCTGCTCCCAGGGAGGGGCAGCGTGATGATGAAAACAGCGCATACCCTGTTCCTCGTGGTGACCCGTCCCACCTTTCCTCCAGGTCCAGAACCCACTGTTGCACTTCCAACCCAGCAAACGGGTGTGTGGGATCATGCTCACATCTCCTTGCGTTGCACACCACCGTTCTCTCTCCCGGGTTCAAAAACAAAATGTGGTGTCAAGGAGAACAGGTTGGGAAAACACTGAGGGTCTGTGTGATGCGTTGACTCCAGAACTTGGCCTCCAGCCTGCCTGGCCTCCAGCCCGCCTGGTCTGTGCTAACATAGCTGAGACCACAGGCTGGGGGTTTTGCTCAGAAAGCCCACCTGTGAGCAGTCCGGGTGGGCAGAACCAAAGCCTTCCAACGCCACCAGCTTACCCCATACAGTGTGTGTTAATAAAAGCGTCTCCTGAACTCGGGTGATATGAAAGCTGATTTTGAAAGAGGGAAGGAATAACAAAAAAGGATGTGATGGTTGGTGTAACAGAATTAACCATCTCTTTTCCTAACCTACCCGTATGTAAAATTCTCTGGGAGCCACCCCCTTATAACTATGGCACAAGCGCATTTACACGTCACCAGTAATGTGAGCAGTAAGAATGAAACAAAGGTGAGATATTGCATAGTAGCATGAGCAGTTCATAACTTTCAAAGTACCTACCTGCTTCATATCAATAGGGGAGCTAAAATTCCAGAAATGATGCATCTAGTGAATTCTGGAATATTTGATCTAACAAGTCACCTGAAAGAATGCCAAAAATACCCCATGGAGTTTTGTACTGGTCCTGCGTAAATATTTTTCTATTTAAATCGACAGCACTTTACCGTTGATTTTTTTTTAAAGAACATTGCTATGAGCAAGCCGTCCCCAAATTGAGTTTGCAAAATTTCAAAATTGTTAACGATTTTATCAAAACAGGTTTCAATGAACCGTATGTAAAAAAGAAAAGGGGGTGGAGACAAAAACAAAAAGCGAGGCCCCTACTGGGAGCAGCGTGCCTGAGGTCTCCAGGATAAAAAGGCGTTCACCTTGGGGACCACCACTGCAGAAGATGCTTCTGTGCTGGTCTTACCCACTCCTCACAGCCCTGTAAGGCTGGTGTGTTCACTCCTGCTTCACGGCCGAAGTAACAGCCCCAGAAAGGTTCACAGGTGGGTCCCAGTCTCCAGCAAACGCCTGCAGAGCTGTGTCTCAACGCCAAGTCGTCTTCTGGAGCTCCTGGGCCACCTCCATTTTTGAGGCAATCAGTGGTTTAAAAAAAAATAAAAATTGCTGCACGTATTAAATGTTTACATATAGCAAGTTTATGTTTAAAGCCCCAAAATGCTTCCATGGCATCAGGCTATTCCAAGACAACAAATGGCAAGATGTAGACCTAGTCCACCACGGCCTTTGTGATGTGATGACCCCTGGCATAAGGTGGATGTCATCTTTCCATTTGTCAGTTCATCTCGGCAACTGCATAGCACAATCTCACCGGGAAAGGTCAACGTCTAAATTTCATTCGTCCCTTTGTGGATGGGGGTGGTTGAATGCCCAGCACAGCGGCCTCCAGCTGCCTCCACCCCACCCACCACGCCCACTCCCGGAGGTCTTTCAGAGCTGTTAGGAGACCACCCCTACACCAGCTGAGCCCCCTGGACCAAGCAGCAACTGGCTGCCCACTGGAGACCACCCACGCTGTCGTTCAAGTGTCCATCCAGGACCTGAAATTCCAAGGCAACGGCTCTTCTTTGCAGTAAAAGATTATGCCACGTCCTCCTGGTCAGACCATCCCACGCTAACTTCGACATTTCGGGGGAGGCCAAGGCTGTAGGCTTTACTTTCTCATCAGGCTCGTCAGTAGTTTCAGCCCTCGCTGTCAAGTGGGCACTCGGACGTTTCCAGAGTCTCCGATGGAAAAGAAAAGGAACAGAGGACGCGCCCTGCCCGAGGGCACCCGGCGTGCAGCAGGGCAGAGTGTGGCCCTGGCTGAATGCACCGGGCGCGGCGGAAGATAGAACTGGCTGGGGACACCCACGTGACTCCCAAGGTGGGTCAGAGCCCGAGGAGCGCGGGAAGCCAGTAGCCCCGCCCCAACCCAGGAGCGCCCCTCCCAACACCCTAGGCCCCGCCCCCGGGGGCAGTGCCTAGCAGTCCCGGGACCGCGATCCCGAAGCCTTGGCAACCAAAGGGACGCTTTCTCCTTAGCAACCAGCACGGCTCCCACCATGGCTGAAGAAGAGGAAGGTGCTGCCCATACGGAGAAAGTTATCCGGATCCAGAGGGTGTTTATAAACCTGCTGGACTCATACAGCAGCAGAAACATCGGGAAGGTGAGCGGCAGTGGGTGAGGTCAGGGCGGCACGCTGACCCCCAGCTCCCGTGCCACCGCCCCGAGTCCCTGAACCCAGAGAGGCCCTGTGCCACGGGGAGGGGGGGGGGGGTGCTCTCAGGGCCTCTGCCAAGGGAGGGTCCCTCGCGGTAGGCATTGCGAATACCTCCAGGGCCGCAGTCTGAATCCAGGCTAGACAACCGCCCCCCCTGGAAGTCTCCCCTCCCACCCACCCCCAAATGAGTTCACCGGCCGAGCCCCGGCCCCTCCCCTGTGAACAAGGGGAAACCGGGGCTCAGAGGAAGGAAGGTACCGGCCCAAGATCACTTAATGAGGCGAGGACAGAACCTGGAAATGGAGCGCAGGTCTCTGACCTTCTGACTGGGCTCCCTTCCCACCCCACCGCCGCATCTGAGGCAGGCCACTGATGCGACAAAGAAGCCCAGAATAGTCCCCGGGATGTAACGTACAGCGTCGCGAACACAGTCCATAACACTGTAATAACTACTGTGGTGCCAGGTGGGCACTGGAAGTCTCAGGGGGACACTTTTGTAAAGGATGTGATTGTCTAACCCCCATGCTGTGCACGTAAACCTAATGCAAAACAGTATTGAATGTCAGCTGTAACTGAAGGACAACAGTTTTAAAACCTAAGTCCCATGGTTCCATCGCCCACCAGGCATTTTCCCTCCAGCGCCCCGTTCAGCACACGGTTGGAGCGTCTGCTGTGTGCCGGGCACTGTTCCGGGCCCTGAGTCCCCCCACGAAGCTCTGTCCCCTTCTCCACCCTTCACCCCTGGAAAGTGAAGATATCCTCAGAAAGAGGACCCTGGCGCCCTCCATCTGTTAAAATGCCCAGGTGCGAAAAGAAAGCCATGATTTGTATCATTCCCTGAGGAGGACGTACTGATTTTCCAAGACTGGGGTGACAAATTATCACAACGTGGGGGGTAGAAAACAATAGGACTTATTCTCTCCCAGTTCTGGAGTCCAGAAATCCATAATCAAAGAGTCGGCCAGGGGGGTTCCTGGGGAGGCCCAGGAGGGAATCTGCTCCGTGCTCCTCTCTCGGCTCCGGGTG